AAGCGTGATGTAGCGATTTCCATAGGGCTCGAATCTGAGAGGTAACTCATTTGGTCAGCACCCTGAGGTACTTTGTACTTTAGTTTTCCCGTTGTTGTTTTTTTTGTTTTCTAAGATTTATATGAGGTGCCTTGTACTTTAGTTTCCTGGTTATTTGTCTCATTTGCTATGATTTCTAGACTTCTCGCTTTAAATTTGTTGCTGTCTCTGTATTTTCTTGGGCTGTGCCTTAGTAGCATTTTCATGACCTTTGTAGTTGTTTTTTTTTGTGTGATTTTCGGTTTAGTTTCTTAATTACTTGTGTACGATCAACCCAAGTTTTCTTCTAATTTCTGCTTCATTTTTCTGATCTGTCGGTGCATCTATTGGCAGTTTGATGTATGCTTCATGTACATGGTTATATTGCTGTAGTAGTTTTGTGTTGGTTTTTTGGGGGTTTGCGTCCCAACCCAGAGATGGAGAATCAGAGGCGAGTTATTGACTTAAAGGTCAAGGCCATGACCTTCTGACCATTCCTCGATCAGTCGAATCTTGTTCTGGACATGTGAGGGAAACATAATGGTTCTCATGTCTCAAAAATGTGTGTGTATAAATCTTTGTTATTTGTAGGGTTCTCATGTCGCAAAATTCTGTGTGTAAATGGTCGCTTTTCAGCAAAAGGGGGCTCTCCCGAAAAATGCTGTTTTGAGAAAATTGAAGGTAAAGTTTTTGAACCTTGTTCAGTTTCTTTCAAAGACAAGGAGAGTTTTCTCTATAACCAAACAAATATACACACCAATGAAATTAAACTTCTCCTATAGGTAGGGCAATGCCCACTTATGGTGTAGGTCAAGATTTCTGGAAACACCCGAAATCTGGGTTAGCCCGCTTGTCCTTAAAAGCGACCATATATGTGTGTACATCTGTGTTGTTTGAAGGGTTCTGGGTCTTGATTTCTACACTCAGGGATATTATATCATACACCGATTGGGAGACTTCCGGTCTCGCTGATATTTTCCAATGACCACTGTAACTGTTGTACTTGTTTGGCATGAGTGCATGCGTGCGATTGTGATGTCATACATGAGATTAGAACAAAGGAAGACGGAAATGTGTAGTTGTCTTTGTATGAGAGACAGATAATGGAGAGGAAACTGACCGTTCTCAACGAGGACAGCCTCCACCAGTGGGGAAGCTCTGGTGATGATGATGATGATGAGGATAAGGATGATGATGATGATGAGGATAAGGATGATGATGATGATGAAGATGATGATGTGGTTGAGTGTAGACAAAATAGTTGAGATGTCCTGGAGATGTTGTTTGTTTGTGTAATTTCTGTTTCAGATTCCATGATGATTGCTTTATTACCATGGTAATTTGCTGTGTTCTTCAATTGCCATGGTAATAGCCTAATCCTTCGTGCTTATAAAAGCCTGCCGTTT